AGAGAGAGAGAGAGAGGGAAGGGCAGGGAGGATGGAGAGGAGGGGATGGATCCCCCAGATAGCTAGGAAACAGAATTGATGGTGCTGGGATGCAGATTGGATGTGGGAAGTGGGGGGAAGGAGGCAGTGAGCTCAGGATGCCAGCGGGGTGATGGGGTCCGGGGGGACAACCCTGGGAGATGGGTGTCACAGGAAATGTTGGTTCCACAGATAGGGAAACCAAGTCTCCAAGAAGTGAAACACACAGGACATGGGTGGGGGTGAAGTACCACATTAAGTGTCACTGGGTGCACAGGAGGGCTTCTGAGCCCATGGGGCCCCAACACCACCCTCCTTGCTCCTGTGGGGAGGCTGCCAGGCTTAGAATCTGCACACTTAGACCAGCTCCAAAACTGAGCTGCTATTATCAGAATCTCCTTCCATCATAACAGGACTTATTCACCTCTAAGGCCCTGGCTTTTTCATCTGTAAAGTGGGGAGGCTGAGAAGGATTGGAAGCCAAGGTCTGTTCATAAGGCTTGGAATCTTGCCAGACTGGGGGTTCCTCTGGCTGTCATCCCCAAGTCTTCCTTGCTGGTGTTCTAGGGCTTAGCACAGGGATCCCCCCACCTTGTCTTCACTCAGTCCCTGGAACAGCACTTCTCAAACTTTAATATGCACAGAAATCACATGTAGATCTTGTTATAACATAGATTCCTATTAATCAGGTTTGGAGGCAGGGCTGAGACTTGGCACTTCTACCCAGCTCCCAGATGATGCTGATACTGCTGGTCTGTGGACCACACTCTGAGAAGCCAGTCTCTTGGCTTTGCAAACTTTCTCCAGGCTAATGACTCCCAAATTTATATTTCCAGTCCAGATATCTCCAGCTTCTTTTTTTTTTTTTTTCTTTTTTTGAGATGGAGTTTCGCTCTTGTTGCCCAGGCTGGAATGCAATGGTGTGATCTCGGCTCACCGCAACCTCTGCCTCCTGGGTTCAAGCGATTCTCCTGCCTCAGCCTCCTGAGTAGCTGGAATTACAGGCACGCATCACCATGCCCGGCTAATTTTGTATTTTTAGTAGAGACGGTGTTTCTCCATGTTGGTCAGGTTGGTCTTGAACTCCCAATCTCAGGTGATCTGCCCACCTCAGCCTCCCAAACTGTTGGAATTACAGGCATAAGCCACCACGCCTGGTCTAGAACTCCAATTTCTAATTACAATTCTTATTTGGCATCTCCATTTGGATATTTAAAAGTTACCTTCCACAGAGCTTCCAAAGTAGCTCTTTCCTCAAACCTAGTCCTCTCCAATGCTTCCCCCAAAACACGTTTCCGCAAAATCTAGAAGATGTCTTTGAATCTCCTGTTTCACTTATCCTCTGCATGCAAACTGCCAGCAAGTGCTATCTCCTTTACCTCCAAAGCATATCCTGACCCTGTCCACTCCATGGAGTAGAGATGACCCCCACTCCACCTCCCTAGTCCAAGCCACATCTCTTGCCTGTGCTGCTATAGTAGCCACCAACCTGGTCATCGTGCTTCCCTCCTGCCTCCCCTCCCCGCCCAAATTCTCTACAGAGCAGTCAGAGAAATCTTATTTTTTGAGACAGTCTCGTTCTGTCACCCGGGCTGAAGTGCAGTGGCATGATCACCACTCAGAGGCAACCTCTGCCTCTCAGGTTCAAGCAATTCTCATGCCTCAGCCTTGTGAGTTGCCAGGACTACAGGTGTGCACCACCACACCCAGCTAATTTTTGTATTTTTAGTAGAGACAGAGTTTCACCATGTTGGCCAGGCTGGTCTTGAACTCCTGACCTCAAGTGATCTGCCCGCCTTGGCCTCCCAAAGTGCTGGGATTAATTAAACTCTTTTAGGAGCTTGCACCTCACTTAGAATTAAATGGACGTCTAATCTTGGCCTACAATGCCTAGCACAACTGGCCTCTGCTTCCTTTCCAGCCGCATCTTGGGCAAACACCTGGCTCTGGGGTCACAGCTATATCAACCTCTCATCCCTGAGCTCACCCAGCCCGTTTCCCCCTCACGGCCTTTGTCCTGACTGCCCTCTGCCTCCTGGTCCTGGCTGACCCCTTCTCACCATTCAGATCTCAGCTTCTGGGTTACCTTTCCAGAAAGGCCTTCCCTGACCACCCAAGCTCTCACCCCAGTTTAATTCTGCACGTGTCCTATCAGTAGCTGACCTTGGCCTGTTAAGTGTCCCTCTCCCCTACTGGGAGGTAAGACCCATGGAAACAATGAGCTTGTTCTTTACCTGATTCATCAGCAGCCAGAACAGGGCCAGAATGGGTGCTCAGAAAATACTGCATGAGCAAATGTCATTCCCCAATTTGAGCCAGTTTCCTCATCTATAAAACAGGGATAGCAGAGCATCTACCTCACAGGGATAAGATTAAACGAGATATTCATGTGAGCCCCAGGCACAGTGCCTGGCACTTGGTCACCTGTGGTTAATGATACTGTTATCAATACCATAATGGAATCCCCTGGCAGCAACGCGTGGGCAGGGCCAGCGGGATTCCCACACACTTCCCAGATGACCTGGTTCCAAGCAGCTGGGCTAATTGGCCCTGGCCCATTTTCTGTCACTGCCAATGTCCTCGACATCTGATAGCAGAGGGAGGGTAAATTCAGGGATGAAGAGTGGAGGAGAGCATGCTTCAACTCAAAGGTTTATTAGAAAGGCCATGGACAGACGAACCCTGAGTAACCAGCTGAGGAAGAAATGAAAAAAGCCCCGCCCCTCATGGCCTGCCCACTGGCCTCCTGTGAACTCTGTTCCCTTGCCAACCCCGAAAGAAGTCAGCCAAAAAGTGCTTTCCACATCCTCTCTCTGGGGCTGCCCAGCGTGACCGCAGGGGGTCCACTGGCAGGGCCGAGGTGGATGCTGGTGCCTGAAGCTGGAAGCCAGCAGGGCCTGAGTCCTCTCCTGTAGCAGGAAGTAGTTCTAGAACCCCCAGCAGAACAGAACGGAAAAGGAGCTGATTGGGGATCGAATGAGTTCTACTAAACAGCCAGAGGCTCTGAGAGAGGTGACACTGGACTGCCTTGGAGGTGTGTGCAGATGGCTACAGATGGCCAATCGTGGGGGTTCCCAGGGTGGGATCCCAAAACTGCTTTAAAGAGTCTCAGAGAACCCCAGTGTGACTCAGTTCCCCTCCTGGGGCCGCACTGGCTGTTTCTGCTCCCAGAAAGGCAAATGGATCTTGTAAAAATCCATGGTGGTTGATGCAATTTTTTCCATAAAAAAAGAGTTTGTACAGTGAATCGCTTTCCACCAGCAGAGCCTGAGCCGAGAAGAGTCCGTCCTGGGGAAGGAGAAGGCACTTCTCACACCCTCGCTAGGGGTGGTCTGGGCTGGCAGCTTCCCTGGCCCCTCGGGTTCCAGCTCCCTCTGGCCCTGTGACTCCAGCCTGCTCCCTCTGGGAAGCATGCCGCCTCCGTCAAGCTAGCACTGCCCTGTGGCCTGAATGCCTTGGTGCCTCACAGGGTGGTGGACGGCAACTTTCTCACTCGTCGCTGAGCCAGGATGGATGACTCGATGGGCTTCAGCTGGGGGGTGGGCTTGGAGCTGTTGAGTGCGGAGTACGTGGCTGCCATGGCTCCCTGAGAGAGAATGGGGCGGCGGGGAGGGAGGTCAGTTCACAATGGCGGGAGTTGCAGCGGGGAGGGGATGCATGCCCCAAGGGTAGGCCAGCCCCTCTCAGTGTTCCACAGCCCACTGTTTTTCTCTGTTTTTGTTTTTTTTTTGAGATAGAGTTTCAGCTCTGTTGTCAGGCTGGAGTACTACGGCACGATCTTGGCTCACTGCAACCTCCGCCTCCCAGACTCAAACGATTCTCCTCCCTCTGCCTCCCAAGTAGCTGGGATTACAGGTGTCCACCACCATGCCCAGCAATTTTTTGTATTTTTTTTTTTTTTTTTTTTTTTTTTTTTTTTTTTTTGACATGGAGTTTTGCTCTTGTCACCCAGGCTGGAGTGCAATGGCGCGATCTAGGCTCACCGCAACCTCCGTCTCCTGGGTTCAAGCAATTCTCCTGCCTCAGCCTCCCGAGTAGCTGGGACTACAGGCATGTGCCACCATGCCCAGCTAATTTTTGTATTTTTAGTGGAGACGGCGTTTCACCATGTTGACCAGGATGGTCTCGATCTCTTGACCTCATGATCGTCTTGGCCTCCCAAAGTGCTGGGATTACAGGCGTGAGCCACCGCGTCCGGCCTAATTTTTGTATTTTTAGTAGAGACTGGGTTTCACCATGTTGACCAGGCTAGTCTCGAACTCCTGACTTCAAGTGATCCACCTACTTATAATCCCAAAGTGCTGGGATTATAGGCGTGAGCCACGGCACCTGGTCCCATAGCCCACTGTTAATCTAGCCTCAGTGGTCCTTTATGGTCATGGGTCCTGCATCCCCAATCAGATGGGAGGGTTCAGAGGTCAGCAGCTGTGTCTTCCAGAGGACTGGGGGCTGTGAGTGTACCGTGACACTGTAAGTCCCTGATCATGCCACCTTGGGCTGACCTCCCAGATGCCCAGCAGCCCAAGGGTGGCCATACCTTCACAAGCTGCAGGTCTTGGTGGGACAGCTGGCTTTGGGGAAGCTTGTCTTTCTGGGTGACCCATGGATGCTGCAGAACCTGCTTGGCTGTGAGGCGCTGGTGGGGATCTACGTGTAGCATCTTGGACACCAGGTCCTGGGGACACAGTGGGCAAGGGGTTGGTGGGAGGGTTGCAGGGGAGCAGGCCTCTGATGGGGCACAGGAAGGCAACCATCTCCTGCTAGCTCCCGCCTGAACCCTTGCAGCAGCCCCTGTGATCCATTCTCCAGTCTGCTCAGGGCTCCCGCACACAGCCAAGGTTCCTGTCTCCGGGCCTTTGCTGCTCTAGACTCTTTGTCCTGGAACACCCATTTCTCCTTTACCTCCAAAATGCCATGGGGGAAGGTAGGAAAATCCTCAGGTTTGGGCTTTGACAGACTCAGGTTCAAAATTTGCCTTTTGTACTCATCAATTGAGTGCCCTGGGCAAGTTGCTTCAACTCTCTGAGCCTCAGTTTCCCTGCTGAGAAATAGGAATAACCACGCCTGCCTCACAGGTTGATGCCACACATAGAGGGCTCAACTCTGTCTGGAATACAGATTCCCAATAACCAAAAACTATTGTTAATACTGGAAGCTCACATGCCACCTCCTTGGAGGAGGCTCTGCTTAGTATGGCCAGTTACTCTGCTCTGTGTCTCCATGGTCCACATCCCTGGCCAAGATGGTCCACCTATCTGGGCCGCCAGGCACTGCTGTTCCTTGTGTGCCAACCTGTATCCCTCACTACACTGTTTCCACAAGGCCGGAGGCCAGGACTGTGGTTATGCAGCCCGTTGTGCCCTACAGGGCCCAGAATGAGAAGGGCCAGTGAATGATCACCAAGTTACCCTAACATGGTGCGGGGATTGTGGGGGTGGTCTGCCTGGGAATCTTCCACTTGGAGAAATATAGCAACAGGGATTTGTGGAACATCTACTTGGAGAAATGAGCCTGTTCACGAACAGCTGAAAAGCCCTGGGATGGGACCCTGCCTCCCTCCTCCAAATGAGGCCATGCAGGCCTTACAGACTCACCTTGGCTGTCTCTGAAACTGTGTTCCAGTTTCCCCCACTGAGGGTAAACTTCCCACTGCCGATCCGGGTTAGGATTTCCTCTGGTGTGTCACTGGGCCCGTTGGCAAATGGAGTGTATCTGCAGAAAAGCCCACACGGTCTGGGTACAGACTCTGGCCTCCATCCTGGGGCTGGGGCTGTGGTGGGAGACTGTGTCTCCCCACAGAAGGGGTGCTCCCAAGGCAGAGTTCCCAGAGGCAGTACCATGTCTCTATTTCCAGACCATCCTGAGGCAGGGCTGGCTGAGCCTTTCCTATCAGACAAGCACCACCCAGCCCAAATGCTAGGGCTGCAGGAGTGGGGCAGGGTCCACGCCAAAGGGCACTCACCCCGCCAGCATGGTGTAGAGCAGAATGCCCAGGCTCCAGATGTCACAACCTTCATCGTAGCCCTGGCGCTTCAGCACCTGGCAACAGGGCAGGGCAGGTGGTCAGCCTGGGGGCAGTAGAAAGTTGCCACAGATGCTCCTGCTACTGCTCTCAAGGGCAGGACAAGGGTCCCAGCCACAGGCTAGATCTTCCCTTGCCAGCTGGGCCAAGGTCACAGAGACTGGAGCCCTGGCCAATGTGGGGCCTCTGGGAGGGGGCATAAGGCCTCCAGTTCCCCCTCTCTTATAGCAGAGGAGGCTGGGCCACTCACCTCGGGCGCCACGAAGTTGGCTGTGTAGCAAGGTGTCATGAGGAGCCCATTCTCAGCCCGCAGCTGTTTGGCAAAACCAAAGTCGCAGATGCGCAGGCACTCAGGATTCCCGGACTCGTCCACGTACAGGATGTTGCTGGGCTTCAGGTCCCTGTGCACAACCTAGGGGCAGGGGGCTGGGGTCAGTTCTCAGTGCAGGGAGGCGGCTAGTGGCCCAGGTCAGCTGCCAGGGATGAGAAAGTTACACAGACAGGGCGTGGAGAGATGGGAGCACAGACCTGGACTCCGAGAGCAGGGGAAAGGGCTGAAATGAGGGCCTTGCTGCTGCTGCTACTGCCCATTTGAACTCTGTGTAGGTGTCTACAGGTAGCTCTAAGTCAACCTGTCCAAAACTGAACTCCCAATTCTCCCCTAAAACTACTCATCACATAATCTTACCTCGTGGCAACTCCATCCTTCCTGTTACTTAGGTCAAAACCTAAAAAGTGTCATTCTCCAAAGTCTAAAAAGTGTCATTCTCTTTTTTTTTGAGACAAGTCTCCCTCTGTCGCCAAGGCTGGAGTGCAGGGGCAAGATCTCGGCTTTCTGCAGCCTCTGCCTCCCAGGATCAAGTAAGTCTCTGCCTCAGCCTCCAGAGTAGCTGGGATTACAGGCACCCCCCATGATGCCTGGATAATTTTTTGTGTTTTTAGTAGAGGCAGGGTTTCTGACATTTTAACATTTTGGGCTGGATGATTAAAAAAAAAAAAGAGAGAGATGGGGTTTCACCATGTTGGCCAGTCTGGTTCCAAACTCCTGACCTCAAGTGATCCACCCGCCTTGGCCTCCCAAAGTGTTGGGATTACAGGCATAAGCCACCGAACCCAGCCCTGTTTTCCTAATCTTTATAATCTATGAATATACTGCTTTACTTTTATCTGTAGCATTTGCCACCACTTAACATAATATTCAATCTGTTTTCAGAGTCTGCCCACTGGAATGTAAGCTCCATGAGTGTTTTGCTCACTGCTGTATCCCAGCACTTAAACTAGCTCCTAGTACATGGCAGGTATTTAATAAAGACCTGTTGAATGAATGAATGAATGACACTGCTGAGGCCATAAGCAAATGGCTTTCCTCTGGGCCCTGCTTGCTCATCTCTAACTTGAGGGGGGTGAACCACTCCACATTTCATTCTTATCCTTCTCACACTCTGTAAGGTTTTTTTTTTTTTTTTTTTGAGACAGGGTCTCTGTTGCCCAGGCTGGAGTACAGTAGCATGATCATGGCTCACTGCACCCACAACCTCCGGCTCAAGTGATCCTCCCACCTCAACCTCCCGAGTAGCTGGGACTAGAGGTGTGTGTCACCACACCTAGCTAATTTTTAAAACATTTTTGTGCCGGGCGCGGTGGCTCACGCCTGTAATCCCAGCACTTTGGGAGGCCGAGGCAGGCGGATCACGAGGTCAAGAGATCGAGACCATCCTGGTCAACGTGGTGAAACCCCGTCTCTACTAAAAATACAAAAAATTAGCTGGGCATGGTGGTGCGTGCCTGTAATCCCAGCTACTCAGGAGGCTGAGGCAGGAGAAATGCCTGAACCCAGGAGGCGGAGGTTGCGGTGAGCCGAGATCGCGCCATTGCACTCCAGCCTGGGTAACAAGAGCGAAACTCCGTCTCAAAAAAAAAAAAAAAAAAAACATTTTTGTGTAAAGACAGGGTCTTGGCTGGGCGTGGTGGCTTATGCCTGTAATCCAAGCACTTTGGAGGCCAAGGCGGGCGGATCACCTGAGGTCGGGAGTTCAAGACCAGCCTGACCAACATGGTGAAACCCCGTCTTTATAAAAAAAAAAAAAAAAAAAGAAAAAAGACAGGGTCTCGCTATGTTGCCCAGGCTGGTCTTGAACTCCTGGGCTCAAGTGATCCTCCTGTCTGGGCCTCCCAAAATGCTGGGATTATAGGTGTGAATCACTGTCACCCTTGGGCTCTCTCCTTCAAACACAATCCTATAGCCCACAGCACAAGGCCAGGTCCCCAGGAATGTGGACTCTTCCCCACAGAGGGCCTAGCCAAGATTCCTAGAGGTCAGGAATGCTCAGCTTGGCTGAGGACACCAACTACCCTGTACAAGAGAACTCCGGCCTTCAGCCTGGAAAGGTGTCAGCCCCTGAGGCTTTCAGCTTGATAGGCTGCTGGCCTTTAAAAAAAAAAAACAAACAAAAAAAAGAGAACTCCCAGTTTACAAAGAACGTTTCCGGTCACGATCTCACTGGAGCCACCCACCACACCTCCACAGGTGGACAGGGATTATTAGCTCCGTTTTACAGAAGAGAAAACCAAGGCTCTGAGAGGACAATTTTCTTTTTTCTTTTGAGACAAACTCTTGCCAGTGGCATGATCTCGGCTCATTGCAACCTCCAACCCGGGTTCAAGCAACTTTCATGTCTCAGCTTCCCAAGTAGCTGGAATTACAGGCGTGCGCCACAACGCCTAGCTAATTTTTGTATTATAGAGACAGGGTTTCACCATGTTGGCTAGGCTGGTTTCAAACTCTGGCCGCCAGTGATCTGCCCACCTTGGCCTCCCAAAGTGCTGGGATCACAGGTGTGAGCCACTGCACCTGGCCTGAGAGGACAATTGACTTGCATGTAAGTCAGAGGCAGAGGCAAGACCAGGACCCAGTTCTGAACTTAATTCCATAGTCTTTCCAGTTTAGCATAGCACACATGACACTCCTGGGACACAGGGATATAGAAGTTGTTGATCTTTTTTCCTATCCTACTACAACATAGAGAAACGACAAACTCCTGCAGGAAACTGTCTCACCACTGCCCAGTATCAGAATAGTAGGGATGGTGAGTGGGGGAGGGGAAGCACAGCTTGAAAAAGCCCCACAGATGATTCTGATACCTGACCCTTGGGTGTGTATGTAGGGGGAGGAAAAGTATAGTCTCACATCTCACTGCATGGAAAATCACAATGGGCTGGGCAAGTAATGAGTGAAGCCAGGCAGAGTGGGAACCTCCAATCCATCCAAAGAGGGCAGCGGCTACCTGGCTCTAGCTGACAGTCGGTATGTAACAACTCAGACCCAGTTTTCTAAAAAGCAGCCAAATTACCAAACCTTACTAAACTATACCTCAAATCAAAAAACACCCCTTATCAGCGGCCAGGTGCAGTGGCTCACACCTGTAATCCCAGCACTTTGGGAGGCTGAGGTGGGTGGATCACCTGAGGTCAGGAGTTCATGACCAGCCTGGCCAACATGGCGAAACTCCATTTCTACTAAAAATACAAAAATTAGCTGAGTGTGATGGTGCATGCCTGTAATCCCAGCTACTAGGGAGGCTGAGGCAGGAAAATGGCTTGAACCCAGGAGGCGGAGGTTGCAGTGAGCTGAGATCCTGCTGCTGCACCCCTGCCTGGGTGACAGAGCAAGACTCTATCTCAAAACAAACAAACAAAAAAAAACAACAAAAACACACCCCTTATCTTGCAGCCCAAACAAAATATATGTGTAGGCCGAATGCAGGCACTGAGGCAATAAGCTGTGACCTCCAGAAGAGTTAGGATTCCTGTCACAGGAAGGAGTTGGGCAGGCCAGGGTGTGAAGCCCGGCTTTACCATCCACTTGGTCTTGGGCATGCCAATTAACCTCTCTAGCCCTCAGTTTCCTCACTTGTAAAATAGGGCTGATAACAGTATTCAACCCGAGGCTTACAGGAAAGAACAGGAATATTTAGCACAGAGCTTGGGAGATGACAGATGTCACAGTAACCCCAGAACTGCCTGGGACTGAACCCCTCTGTCATGCTGGATGTTAAGATACAGCGACTGCTTGTGAAGAAGCACTTAAAAACTAGAGACCAGAGGCGGCTGTCCAAAGCAGCATTGGACCACATGCATGCGTTCAGAGCACAGGCTCAGCCAGGCACAGTGGCTCACGCCTGTAATCCCAGCACTCTGGGAGGTTGAGATGGGTGGATCACCTGAGGTCAGGAGTTCATGACCAGCCTAGCCAACATGGTGAAACCCCGTCTCTACTAAAAAATACAAAAAATCAGCCAGGCATGGTGGAGGGCACCTGTAATCCCAGCTACTTGGGAGGCTGAGGCAGGAGAATCTCTTGAACCCGTTAGGCAGAGGTTGCACTGAGTCGAGATCACGCCATTGCACTCCAGCCTGGGCAACAGAGCGAGACTCTATCTCAGAAAAAAGGAGCACAGGCTCTGGGCTGGGTGCAGTGGCTCACGCCTGTAATCTCAGCAGTTTGGGAGGCTGAGGTGGGAGAATTGCTTGAGCCCAGGAGTTTGAGGCAACAGGGTGAGACCCTGTCTCTACAAAAAAAAATTTAACAATTAGCCAGGTGTGGTGGCATGGCTGTAGTCCTATCTATGCAGGGTGGGGGTTGTTGAGGAGGGAGGAGCACTTGAGCCTGGAAGGTCAAGTCTGCAGGGAGCCAAGATCATGCCACTGTACTCCAGACTGGGTGACAGAGTGAGACAGTC